ATTAGCCAATACTATGTGGCAAAAATAGTAGGTTTAGGATAGAAAAAGGCATACTCATCATGAACATATTTTATCATAAACTGAACTGAATTACAGAGAAAGAACTGTCGGTTTGATTATCGTGCAGAGTCTTAGGGAACCAGATGATGGGACACTTTCAATCCTTTCGTCCGCACTTATGATCAAAGCAGTGTCTTACTTGAGGACACTATCTCAAAGGATTAGGATATTATCGTCAGAAGGTGTGCATGACGTGTAGCTGATCAGTATCAGTTTTGCAAGCAGTTGGTGAAGGACAGGTCATAGCTTTCAAAGCAAACAGGCAATTTATATGGCATATTCAAAGATATCCGAAGTTGTGATATCTGCCCCATGATAACTTCTAAGGTTCATAAAAATACCGTGCCAGCGATAAGTTGAAGGTGGTAAGTCTTTTGACACCATTCCTATGTTAATAAGACAAGTTTTCCTTTGATAAATTGAACGCAGAAAGCTCAAAATACGAGACCAGCGCTTAACATGGACAGACCTTCTTACTGAGGTCTGTAATTTAGGGACACAAACAATCAGGTGAACAATGTTACTCCTGCAATAAAACGATTACCAGCATTGCTGGTTCGTAAAACTGAGAGCTAAAAGATTTTAACCAGCCTACCAAATTACAAAACAGCAAAATTACACAAACGTAAGATGTTTTACTTATGTCTCACATACAAAACAAATCGCTTACCATGTGTTTGGGCGGTGAATCTATCACATCAATTACGCCGAAAGGCGAACTTGCCGGGTAATCGAACTGAACGTCCAAGCCTTCCCTTTTGTACGCGTCCAACACGCTGGCAAAGCACGAATCATGATAGACGCCGGCGATACGTTCGTTTACGTAATTATACGCGAATTCCGCCCAAGAGGCACCACTTCTGTTAGACACTCGCGACGGAAACGGCTTCTGATAGCCTGGATAGTCGATCAACTGCAGGCACGTGCTTGATGATGACGGCTTGCCAGACGAAATGGCGCTGAAAAAACAAACAACAGATTTAACAATCGAACATGCAAGAGAACCATGGGCATCGACTACCAATTGATGAGATCGGTTACGAGGAGAAACGTTTCGCGATACAGGTTGCAGATGAAACTGTTCAACGCTTCGTCGCCATCGCCCGGGCACTGTGTCACCGCCAGTCGCTCAAGACAGCTAACACGCGAGATTTTGTCCTTTTTCGTGACCGAACTATGCCCCTTCTTCTCTAATACATCTTAAAGCCGAAATATGAAAATACACATTGCTTTCATGCACATAAACGTATCTTTGAAATCTGTAATAATAAATAGAGGATAAAGTTCAGAAAAATGTGGTGAACGAAAACATAATGAGGTTTGCGTAGACTATCTGCGTGGTGCATATTAGCAGCATGTTGCAGACCAGAGCAACAACTGAGGCCGTGGAACAGTAAGTACTCAAAAGTATGCTTAAGTATGAATTATAAGAACGAGAAGGTTATGTAAATAAAAGCAAGCATTGGTTTAGATTACTAGCAAAAGCTAATTCTCAATTTCGCCATTATCATAAAACCTTAATGTCGCACGGCATCCTTTGCTGAAGAAGATTATACAATTTGATAGCGCAGCAAAGGTAACCAGGACGAACTGAACAAAAATATTTTCTTGTTGGTTCTGTCCCATGTCTTTCAAGATTTTACTTTCATCAGTTGGCTTCTTTCTAACTAAGGCAACTTCTTTCTTGTTTACTGATGCAAGACGGTATTATTAGGATTTTTGACTAAACCGGATTCTGCCACTGCCGAAATTTTTCTCTACCATCTGCTTAAACAAACCATACTTCCCGTAACCTGTTAAGACCCTCCCCATTTCGTTTTCTACACAGTCCGTCTTCAGGGAGAAACATACTATAAAACAGAACGTTACAGTATAATTCGAAATAATCAGAGAGCACTTCATTATGGAGGTTCTGTCTTGGGAAATAAACGCTGCTTCAAAGTTTCGTTTCAGTGCGAACATAATTCCATACTAACATCTTTATTCATGCATCGATGCGACTGAATCTGAATGGTTTCTTTTATTTTCCGGCTTAAAAAATTTCGCTCTCGGTATATCCCCTTCATATGGTTACATAATACGCGGTGTTGTTCTTTTATTGCATGTTGCACAGCCGCCGAGTTCATTTCGCATAGCGCCCTTGCCACCTGCAGATCTTTCGTCTGTTTTCGTCCTCTACATTTTTGTGCTTGATCATTTTGATATAGATCAAGTTTGCATCAACTTGTCAGGTAAACGGGGTATTCTTTCTTTTAC